CACAGCTGCAAAACTGCTGAGAAGACTTTTCCTGCCCCAGAGATATTAAAAGCTCATTCTCACAGATAGGGTACGTGGAGTAAGAGCGCAGGGGTGAATTGAGACATTCCTTGTGGGGAATTGGCACGGGATCGTTTCCTGGAGTGAAACGAGCCTCCAGGAATAAAGAGCAGGTGGCAGGGAAGTGTGGCTGCTCTCCTCTCCAGGGACCCACTAGCAAAAGGTATGCATAGGAAATCAAGATTTGAGCATAGCTGCACAAGCCATTCACAGACCCAGCATATGTGCTTGAATGGCTACCCCAGAGCTATCCAGAACGGAGATTATTATCTTCAGTACTCTGATATTATTGCCTGAGCCAGTTACATGGGAGTACTTGGGCATGAACCATCCCTTGTGAGACAACGTGGACAAGCCCCACATGACTGAAAACTTCACTGATTGAGGAAAGTAACTGGGGAAGATGAAGAGATAGACAGGAGAAGTGGAGAAAAGGGTGAGCCTGGGAATTGAGAATAAGCTCCTAATTCACTGCAATGAACGTCAAGCAATCCTGAATATAAGGATTTCATTTTTCTCTCCTAAATTGGACAAAAACATCCTAATGGCCAATATTCAAGATTATGTAGCAAAGCTTGGTGGCCCATGTGGTTATATTTCAGCTACTGAATAGACTCTACAGAGGCTGATCTATTTGGTGAGAAGCTGGGGAATGCAGAGATACTTAGTAATACCAGAGGATGGAAAAGTATCCTCAGAGGTGGTTGCTGTGTCTTGTCCTATATCCACACCTTCCTGTAAGTGTCCTCTACTGCCCAGGATCAGATGTGGACTTAAGGGAGTCTGATGTGATCTGTTATGAGTTTTCAGTCTGTGTGCACTATTGTGAATGAAGACTTTTATAATATGCTCTCACCAGGGAAATGTGGCACCTGACAGGTTTTAAAGACAGCCTGAGTTGTTTGCAGTTAAGTAATTTTTGTAGCTTTGGAGGCTCTTGTGACTGGACATATGGCTAGTTAATGTTGAGGAACCAACAGTGATTTGCGTCTGCTGATAAAATCTTCATTTTTTTTTTTTTTAAATAAAGCTAAACATAACTTCTTTATCCGTTAGGCTGCAATGATACGTTTACCAAACAGCAGGGCAAAGAGTAAGAAAAGGGGGTAATAAATTTCCAACACCTTGAAGAGAAGAAATATTGACAAAATTGAAGTAAAATAGTTTATTTCACTAGAGGCAAATAGTGTCTGAGCTAGAATGGAGGTCAAACTTCTGTCTGGCCAGTTCATTTAGGTTTTGTTAAATTTAAAAAAAAAAACCCCTCTTACGGATTAATTGTACTATGATCACATAGTGTGCTGACTTCGCGGTGAAAGGATAGATGCTACAATGCAATATTGATTTCTTTTTCTTGAATGGAGTTAAAATGGCACAAGAGAAATATGGCTTCTAGGCAAAGGCAGTGTCTTTTCTTAGGTGAATTGTTTAAGTTGGAAAAACTGTCAAATAGAAGATTCAGATGAGTGAAAATACTCTGTTCCCATATAACGAAGGCAATAGGAGTACATAATTAGCTGATGCACTAATGCCCGGAGAGGGGGGAAAGTGATTGCTAAAAACTTCTAGAAGTGCATAGGAACACAAACATGAGTGAGGACTCTCCTATAATAGGTGCCAACAAAGTAATCAAAATCTAAAGAATAAGTAGAATATATATAGAAAATGATAAGGTGGTGCAGCAGTGGTAATTAAAAGAACTACTACAACAATCTTACATGCACAATAAGATTTTTTTGTACTTTAACTCTCAAACTAGAAATATTAAACTTCTATTGAATGTCTTTTGCTGTGCTTTTACAAAATATAGTCATTAGTGTAAGAGCACTGGTGTCTGGGTAGAGCATATTTTAGAAAATGGTGCAGAATAACACCACACAGATCAATGTTGATAAATGTTTAGAGAGAGCCTGGTGTGGAGCTGGATGCTTGGACAAAAAACATGTATGGGTGAGCAAACACTAGGCTCTGTCAAGAAACAGCGCTGATCTCATGCAGCCTAAGTTAACTCTCCTTTGCTGCTGGCTCTGTGCATGAGCTGGTGCTGTTTTCTTTACTGTCTGGCTATTGCTGGTATGTTTAATCGGAAGCAGCACAGGGAACCTCTGGAAGAATGAAAAAGAATAGAATGACAATAGTAACACTGAGAAATAGAAGCTGATGGAGGTGAGGCAGAGACAACAGGATGTAAAATCTTTCAACTCAAAGTTTTAAGTTCAAATTTTGGGAAAGAGCACTAGTGACTGGCTGCAAGTTATTTATATCTTGAAGCCTAATTGAAATGCACTCTTGTCTTGAAGATCTCAAATAGCTGTAATACCTACTGGTGGGACATGAACACGTGGATAGATTAGAAGAGCAAAGCTCTTTCTCATCCTGAGTAATGGTCTCCTTAGGGAATGATGTGGAAACAGTGATGGGGGTCAGCTGTGGAAACCTGCACTGCACATGCTGTGTTTATTCCCTGGAAAACACCATGTATAAAGCTCCAAGGCAAGCACAGCTTACAGAAGCATTGCAGGCTGAAACCCTTCCACAGTATGTTTTTGACTTTAGTACTACTATGCAGATTAGAGTCCTCTAAACCTGCCACAAGGCGCAACTCTGCCCAAGGCACTACTTGCAAACCTTCTTTGCTGCAAAATATACATATTCCCAAGTCTATAATGCTGCTTGTATAGTGTAGATGGGATACCTCTTGAGCGATTTCTTGTGACTCTTTGAACAGTAACATAAATGGTGGAAAGAATTTAGAAGAGCAAGGTAAATATTTATAAACTTATGTTATAAATCAGTGGTCTTGTAATTTCTACCACCCTCAAGATTGTACTTTCATGCATGTGATAAATGACTTCATTGCTCAGCCTGGATTTTGGTGCAGTTGTCTACACAAGCTGTCTAAACAGAGGCAAGGAACCAGAGACCTTGGAAGCTTACAGATTGTTTCATGTAAGTTAGTGAAAGAAAATTGCTTAGCTTTCTTTCCATATATATGCTTCCACAAAAAAAAAAAAAAGAGGTCTTTGCTTTTTCTCACTTGCAATATAGTTTCCAGACACAGTTTTGTCAGGGAATTAGACTGCAGTTTCTAAAGATGACCTCTTATTTTCATGTTTGGAATCAGAGTGGCATTAGCGCAGAGAAAGAGGAATGGATCACATAATCTCAACTGGCCAACAGGAAAAAAAAAGATACTCACTGGCTTAGGCAGGGAATTGTACAAGTTCATTGTAAAGTAGAAAAACTCCCGTGATAGAAAAGGGATGATATTAGTGAAGTATGTCAAGTTTAAACCAAGTGTGACAGGCTTCAAACACAACATTTTAACTGCAATTCATATTGCCTCAAGGTACTAGCAACTGTAAAGCAATATTTTGGTTGCATATTGGAATACAATGTTGCTGTAGAGACTGAGCCAAATCTCACCCTTAGAATTAGATGAACATGCATATGTATACAATAGGAGAAAATATAGTTGACTTGATATTCTGGGGTGGATAAAGCTTAATAAACTTATTTGTATCTCTTCTTCCTGCTTGTTGCAATGGATTTCATTGTCTTTTCATCATAATAAAGTCACAGTATTTCCCTTCGGGATTTTTTTTCTTTCCTGACATCCTCCCCTCCAAAATCTCATGAAATGGTATGAAGTGTTCCTTATGAGCCCGTGGAAAGAGCTTTTTATATGAATTTTGCAAGCACTTAGGTAACTAATGAGACACTTAAGGTTCCTGATGGAATTTCCTTTGCACCTATTGCAAGTACATCTAAATGATCTGTCTATGGTTTACGCAGTCTCTCTGAGTGGGCAGCAGGTAACTTGACCCATGCACAGCTCTATTTATTACCAAGATTCAGCTAGGATGAATTATACCTGAGGCAAATCACACCTCCCTAACTCTCTTAAAATAATTGTCACCTTTTCCATCCACAAAAATTTTCTGCAAGATCGCAAAATTCCCCTCAAATTTTTCCATGATGGCCAAACTTCTTCATAGGGTTGTCAGAAGCAACCTTCTACATGAAAATTCAGCTTTCACAGCCAGTCTGTAGTCTAGTTTTCAGGGAAACAAGGGGTATGAGCTCATGCAATTGGTCTGTCTCCTTCCCACTGAGGACTGCTGAACTGGTTGACTGCTTGTGACCAGTGCTGGTGGGATAAGAGGAGGAACTGTGAGCTGGAAATGCAGGGAATTACCTCAAGGGATAGATGCAACTGCAATCTGCGAGGAGGAGGAAGGAAGGCTTTGTGCACCATGTCAGCTATGGCTGGCAGGATGGCAGATACAGCTTTCCTAGCAGAGCTGCTTCCTAGACTTGACCCTTTCAGCTTAATAAAAGGCTCTTTTGAAGTTCTTTGCTTGGGCATTGCTTGGTATTATGGAAACTGAGAAACCTCTCTTTAACTAGGATGTGTTGCTTTACTTTCATTAACCAAGGAATTCTGTAGGCAGGAGTCATGTTTGTATTTTTCTCTTTTATCACTGATCTTTATAAATAGACACAGCCCCTTGACCAAATCTGATCTTATTTCAACAGGTGAAAAAAGTAGTACATGTGAAATAACTCCACTGACACCAGTGGAATGAAACATTAAATTGGTGTAAATATGAAGAGAATCAGAACTAGGAGGCCCATTGCTACTGCTGAACTTGTTTTACTCCATCTCAGGTTATAAGGCCCCACAGTCTGTTTCTATAATAAAGGCAGGTAAAGATTTTTATTTGGAGGTATTTTTACTGAAAGATAGGACATTCACATTTTGCATCTCTGACGTCAGTCCAGATTTCCAGGACTGAGAAGAGTAGCTCATCTGGGGAACAATTTTTTTGTGACATGTAGGCCGCATCAAGTCCTGTTTAAGTCTTACTCATGCTGTACAAAATCAAGAGCATTCCTAGTCCTGAGCCTGTATGCCAGCAGCTCTGCACTCCTCCTACCTGTTTGTGAGGATAAACATTAATGTGGCACTTGATACATTCTTGTCCCATGTTAGCCCAGGAGTTTCCACTCATCCATTTTCTCTTGCACTTGGGGCACTTATATTCACCGAAGCAGCGTTTCTTGCCCTGGTATGGAGTCAGGCCTTCTCCTTTTGGACGAGCCTACAAAACAAAAGGAAGTAGCAATGAATGACCACAAAGGGATGGGGGGGGGAGTAGTAGAAAAGTAAGTTTTTTCTTCATTAGGAAACTTTCGGCAAAAGATACTGGAGGCAGACATGAAGGTCATCCCCTTAACAGAGTTTGTATGTTGAAGCTAGAGTTTAACAGTTCTTAGTTACCTCTTTCTTAGTTACCTCTGTAAGAAGTATTCAAAAGTTCAAGAAGACTTGTAACACTTACAACTGACACTAAACATAATATTTAGAAAAAGGCCTGTGCGCTTTTTATAATGAACAGTTTTAATACCCACTTCATTATTATAAGATCATCTCTATTGAGTACATATTGCTAATATTATATATAGCATCTAGAGAAGTAGCTCACTAGTAAAGCACTATATTTCTTAATTAGATCCTTGTCTATTCCCCACTAAATCCTATCCTTAAGAAAACTTTATAGTTTAGCTTCACACAGCCTCTAAACAATGAAATATTGGCAATTCATTAGTATGTGGATACACATTATTATATGGGAATGCACAAACTGGGATTGAGTATGAAGGGAAGACATGTTTTTGATTAGTGGGCATCATTAATTTTATGAACTTCATTTGGTTTCTTACTCTCGGTAAACAGTTTCACTGATTTCTACATTTTGAAAGAAATAGGAAGGGATTCTCAAATGGAATGTTGTGATGTTTAAATGTTAAACGTCCCCTAAAGAAAGCCTTTTTATCTAGGGAAGCTAGTAGAGTCGACGATGGCCTTCTGCAAATACTGCTTATATTGCTTCTAAATGCATTCACTAAAACTATGTGTTGTATTTAATGAAAGTATAGTAAGGTGCTTAATATGTTAAGGTGAAGATGACAGTATTGCATACAGCTGTCCTGAAGGTATCTGTAAAGATGATGCTGTTTTCTAAGAGTCTCTAACACGTGTTGAAATACTGCCCATGTATTCACTGCATTTTGTTTATTGTTGCCTAGAGGGAGATACTTCACCTGTATAGTGGCAGAATGGTATGATCACCTATCGAAGGATTCTTTGTCATTTCTTTATATGTCACGCCTCTGTGACTTTTTTAAAGTTCCCAGATGAGGTTTACAAAAGTTAAATGACCCATCGTGCTGGGAAAGGGTTTGTTTTTGTTTTGGGAGCTTGTACGATTTCTCAGTGTGTAGGTCCAAATTGCTTTCTATGTGAAAACATGGGTTGAAAAAGCAGGTGGTTGGCAGAAGACCTGAGCTTGGCAGAAGCTCTGAGACTCAAGCTCCCATGGCTGATGGAGATGGTGTACGCTGTGTTACCTCCAGGGTCGCACGTGGGAGCAAGTGGGGAAAGAACATTGAGTGCACTCCGCATTGCATGCTGGTAGGTGGAAGAAGATCAGGAGGATCCCAAACCTACCCTGGCCTCTCTCCCCCCGCCCCCGTAGTGTCAGTAAACAACATTCTCTATTTTTCATGCTTATTCCTCAGCATAGCAATATTCTTTAAAACATCAGATGTAGTGGCAACCTCTGTTACGAATAGGCAAACTTCTATAATAATTTCTTCATGACACTCAATCTGACAAGCCACTGTAAATATTCTGGCTCAGAGCAAAGATCAAGCTGACACTAGGACACACATATTTTCAGAAGTATTGCACTGAACTAAAAAAACGTGTTCATTGGCATAACGAGAAACATTTGGAATTCCATGACTAAATGAGTGCTGGCAGGCACCCAGAGTGTAATCTTCTGATCCATGGTGCCTCTTGATAAGGATGGGAGACTGTAATTGAATGTAGGGCAGGAAAATGTCAATTTATGGAGACATCCTTATTTTGGACACTTAATTTGGCTCTGCCTCTGAGGAATTTGTCGCACAACTCAAGTCAATGTAAGAAGGAGTCACGTGCTCTCTTCATTTAGAAATTCTTATGGAATTGAATAAGTACCCTGTGTACAGAGAGCTCCCATGGTCGAGGAACATTGCCCTTCCTCCTGAGGTGTCATAGATTGCTTTATTTGTAGTTTCAACTAGGGCTATGTTATTGAACAGAAAACGAGTTATTTCTGATTCTCAGCTTCAATGGCATTCAGACTCCTCCTGCAGACCTGGAAATGCAGCTTCATTACCCCTACTAAGAAGCAGTCCTTTCAGAAAATATGCAGGTCACTGAGTGCATTATTTCCAAAAGTAATAGCACTGACTTTGGAGACAGAGCATGTTTGAAAAGTCTTGTAAATATTTACAAACAGTATTTAAACATAACACTCCCACTGCAAAATGTTATGCCAGCCATAAAGAGCATTTAAACATCAGACTCCCACAGCAATATGTTGAGCTAGCCACAATTCACAGACGGGAAACTTTCAGAGATGGCCACTTTGGGCTGATAACTATAGGTTTCTCCAGGTCAGGTAGCTGACTTCAGACACACCAATGCCCTGAAGTGCTCTGCCCTCACAAATGCACAGGAGGGCACTGAAGATGCTAATCAGTGAGGTCCTCTGTGTGTACAGCTGGGCATCACAAATGGAGGCTTTCCAAATTAGAAGCTACTTTTAAAATTTGGCTTCTCCAACTTGCTCAGTAAATCAGAAGCAGAACCAGGAAAAGAACATAGGAGCCCTGACTCCAGTGGTTATTTCCTGTTATAATTGCTAGACTAAACTTCTGATTTATTTTTATTTTAACTTCTCAGCTGTTTTCTCTCCCTCCTCAGTCAGTGACTTTAATTAGTTTGCTGGCAAAGCTACAACATTCTCTGTAGGTGTTTCGCTATTCTGCTTTATGGATGTTTATACTTTGCCCTAACAGATATTATTTTCTTTCCCATATCTTCAGTTTCCCAAACTGTGCCCCACAGGGAATTTGGATTCTCAAACAAACAAGCTCATTTTCTCTAGTGAGAAACATCATTAGGAAGCAGTGACAGCAAGGAAGGCAACTCTCCAACTCCCTCCACCCTTCAGGTCCAAACAAAACAGAAATTTGACAGTATTTGGTGGAAGGCAAAACCTGAGTGAGATACAGTAATGGCTCAAGAGGTCTGATGCTGGGTGTTTTCTTTCTTTTTTTTTTTTTTTCTTTTTTCTTTTCTTTCAGTGTCTGTGGCTTCAGCAGCAGCACAGTTGAATTGCATAAACATTTCCAAGAAACAGCCTGGTCCTTGGCGCAGAAGCAGCCAGCCCAGCCCAGCAGGGTGCTCGATCACCCAGTCGCTCTGCGGCAGAGGTGTCGCAGTGCTCATCCAGCTGGAGGGCAAGAACTGCTTTCACCAAAGGTTTTTCTTAGCTGAGTACCAGAAAAGAGCAGGACGACACACTTTGTCTTTTGGTATTAACCTAATGACTCCTATTTTACAAAATGTAGGATTTACCTTGTTTAAACCATTAACCTCCTATTCCCTCCCCACCTCAGCTTGATTTGAATGGTGTTTAATAGTAAACCTTGGTTGGCGTTTAGGTCCTGCAATTTCTGCACTGAGCATTATCTTTTCTTACTCTTTATGCAGATAGGGATTTATTTATGTTCCAAGTTAATCTGGCAAAGTTATGCCCCTATTCATAATGGCAAAATATTTTGTTGTTACCATGTTAACACATGTTGTCCCGTTGCCTTTAGGCACAGGTAGTCCTTGGCCTGGTTTCTACCCTTGGCTGCAAAAGCTTGGTGGAACCTCTGTCTTACCATATTTGAAATAATATTCAAACTAGGTTACAAACTGTAATCTGAAAAAGGTTTTTACGTTTGCAGTATCCTTTATGTCTGGGGAGTTGACAATTTTATGCTTTAAAGGCTGATTTGACAGGCTTACTCCATAAAACCAAAGTGCCCAGCATTTCTCCTGCTATGTGCTCTCTGAGAGCTATATGTATCTTCATTCAGACATTTCAAAGATTATTTAATGCCGCCAGGACAGGTAGGCCTTTGGGAATGATCAAAACCAAACAGAGGTTTTTTTGAGAAGGACCAGAAACTAGCTGTTACATGAAGCATGTCTTAATGTCCAGATCTGGGCCCACATAATAGATTCTTTGTGCTGCTTTGACTTTGGAAATCAGCAGGGATTTGCAGAAGGGAAGGCCGGCCTCCCCCACGGTACCCCGGGGCTGGCAGCTGTGGTGGCCCATAGCCCCTTCCTTCCTCATGGCCCTTAGGCAGAACTTGGAGCCAGTTTTGGGCTGGTGGTCATAGTGCTAATGCTAAAGGGGACTCCCTCGGACCCTGAATTCAGGAAGCAGCATGGATTCTGTAAAACCCCTCCCCAGGCCCTCTGTCCACTAGCAGTTAGCCAAACAAAAGGACCTTGCCCTCTGATTCATAAGACAGCGGTACATCACCTTGGGTTTCCAGACAAATGAAATAATCTTTGCAGGTTTACCTAGCCAGTGCACGTGTTTGCCTTAGCTAGATCCAACATATGTACAAAGCCAGCTTTTTTTTGTGTGGTACAGCAACAAAAATGACATTGGTATTCCACCCTTCACTGACACCCAGCTGCCTCTATTTTTCATCCTCTTCCTTTCTTCAGCCAAAACCACAAATTGGCCATAATAAGATTTTAAAAGTGTTTAAGTTGAGCTTTTCTGCTGGTTACTGGCCAGCCAAGCGCTCTCACAACCTATCAGATTGTGCATCTCATGGAGGAATCTGCCAAATCACTTGGCAGTGACGGACATAATAAAGGACTCTTTGCTTTCCCCAGACAATTCTCTCAAAGTATCAGTTTGCAGAGTCAGCAAAACCAAACCTACCCCCCCCCCCCCATGCCCTGCTTAAAACTAGATTCATTATGAACAACAATGGGCAGAGAGTTCACTCAGTGAAATGCAGAGAGAAAATGTATTTAACACTGCTCTTCCCCTCATCTTCGCCCAAGTTTGTGTTACACAGCTGAAAGGCATACAGCACAGGGGGAAGATGAAGTCCGTATGGCACTGGTAGGTGGGTCCCCTTCCTACAAGTGCTCTGTAAGGGTCTACTTATAAGGATGCTTCATCAAATA